AACCTTTCATTCGCCAGTTCAAACTATTATATGTTATATCCTGTAAATCTCTGTTGTACTTTATTATTCTGCAGAGGATTCGCCTGTGAGGGCGTCATTTGCATTGTTCATTTTTTAGATGACTTTGATTTATTGAAATATCCAATTCGAATGATTTGCTAATGTGTTTCGAATCAATAGAGCAGCCAGGATGGCACTCGCCTAGGAGACATCGGCGCTGGTGTCAAGGCAAACAGCGATTACTGCCACGCTCATATTATGCCTTACTATAGATCTGGTATCGATCTCAGTGAATCTTGGTCGTATATACAAGAGCAGATAGAATGGATTAACAAAACCGTTCGGCTGCCAACAATGATTACTGAAACTCAGTGGGCATGGGCACGGAACGAGGGTCATCCAGTTGATAAGCCGGGGATTACTGTGGAAGGATATACCCAATATTGGAATAAGTTTGACGAAGAATGCGAGCTGTTCAAAAGATATCAGGTCGGCTGGTTTATCCATACTTGGCGTGGCGAGTCGACGTTTGATATCCTGTATCCCAACAATGGGAGTTATGTAATCCCTAAGTGGCGGCCAAGGACCTGTTAGGGCATGCAATATGTGCACAACTAGGTGGGAGCGTTGGATACTATCACTTTCGTTCATTCATCCCCTAAGTTTAGCTCGAGTGTATCGTTTCTCACTTCAATATTTGGTGCGGAGGTGAAATGCTTGAAAGCAATATATAACCCCCCTGATATTGCTAGGACTCCATACTTGGGATAGTCAATAGAAACTATCTGGATATATACAGGAGATCTGTTTGTTCTATGTGTGCCTCGTGATAATTACTTAACTCCTAGTGTAGAAAGGTGTCAAGGCTAAGGCTTTTCCAAAGCAATGACTATTCAAATCTCAAGTAAACTATCTCCCAACCAAGGCAGTTGCCAGCAACACCCAGCTAGCTATAGTAGACATTCTTGGAATCCATTGATATTACCAGAAAACCATTGCTAATTGGTCTAAGTAAGAGCCAGGGATCTAACTAAGAAGGCGGGCTATCACTTAGTCATTTGAAGAACGCTTGAATCGAGATGAACGCAATGGGGTTCAATTTCAACAAGGAGATAGGAAGCTGGCTGGGTAGGCAAGGGTACTTCGGTGTAGTGGTATTCCTCATATTTTGATCCTAGCTATCTGGATCACTGCTTGTAAACTTCAGGAATCCCTGATTAGCTAGCATTAGTCGCTACATTACTTCACTACCCTACTATTTAATTTCAACATTCAAAATGTGTATAATCAGGGTAAACTTCAAAAGCTTGGCCCACTAACTAGAGAGCTGGGCACATAGGTTTATGGTTCCGTTCCGTCTACCTCTAGCTAACCCAACAAATTGTGTTAAAAATCTCAATTTGTTGCAGGTCAATCCTTTTTGAGTGGCCTACGCTACTTCGATCCGTAACGCTCTTGGCTGCGTTATGAGTATGCCGCCGGCAATTCAACAGCCATTTGATCGTGGAACCGCTAAAAAGCCAAGAACAGCCAGTCGTGATTACGAGACTTCTGCAGAAAGACTTAACCAATTGTGTGCAGGCGCAAATATGTCGCACTTCCACAGAAGATGATTATAAGAACATCCTGAAGGTGTTACGACACTAGAAAGGAAAGCGGCGTAGTTGCTGTTGTATCGGTAACGGACCTACCGAAGGTACTGGACTGTGGGGTCCAGAACAGCGAAATATTATCACGCTGAGTTTATTACCAGAAACAAATTTTCATTCGACAACATGATCGCACAACATACAAATATGGGAACTGTAGCATCGTATCTTGGTAATATAGCCGAGTTTACAGCCCCCAAGTTGCTTGGGTATTACCAGGAACCAGCCCACCCATATCACCCACACATTTCGTAATACACACCCCGGTTTTGCTACCTATTATGGCTTCGTTTCACATGCAGCCGGCCTGCGGCATTGAGTGAAGCGTATTCGATTGCTTGATACAGCAGGAGACGCCCCTAGGCTAGACTCCGGCTCGTTGTGTGTCATATTTTACATGTTTATGTCCCTTGTGCTAGCAAGCATTGCGATATGTGATAAAATAGGAACTCAGGATTGGGGCCGTACATTACGCCACATAATATGAGGCTTGGCGTTAAACACTTGCCGGTCCTCCGCTCGACTTGACGAGTATTCGATCATATTATCAGCAAGCTGATTACTCTACTTCCTAGCCAAACGGGCAAATTTACATCGAGTTAGGTCGACTAAGTAAAATACACAAGAATTAGATTATAAAACGTTCGATATGAGCCCGGCACCGTGCTATTTTCCTTCTAGATTAGCAGAAGGCGTTTGCCAAGAGTCTTTATGCCTAGGGCTTGGTAAGTGTGCGGCTGCGGATCTTGAAGACTAACAGTAAGCCAGACGACAAGAATACTCAACTGGTTCATAAAAAAAAAAAGGAATAAAAAGTAAAAAAAAGGTGGTGGGGGTGTCGGAGAAGGAATATATTTTCAGATTAAACTATACAGATCACTCAAGCAATGGAGGTAAAGGATATGAAGGTTTGATGAAGACGATGATGGCGGCGTAGATAGCGGCGAAGATGAAGATGATAATGATAGGTCAGATAGACAATGGGGAAGATGAAGGAGGTGAAGTTAGTGAAGAAGACAACGGAGACGAGAAAGTTGGGGAAGACAGAGGTACAGTCGCATAGTGCCTCCATGTTTAATTTGGTTCATCTCATTGTATCCAGTTCAGGTTTTCGGAGTTATAGTCAGGAACACGGAAGTCCCAGCTTGTTGCCCACCGAATAGTATGGCGTATCGGATATTTGAAGACGAGCTTCATTCATTGTTTTCGGGGATCTTGCGATAGTAGCTGTATCTCTCGTTACCTTGGACTGGATAAAATTGCCCGGACTTGTATTATATTCTCGAGAATGTTAATATCTGCCAAGCCTAAGTACTGTAACTGTCGGATAGAGGACGGCTGATCCATTTCCAACAAATGGACTGTTTAGGATATTTGCTCGGCGCGTACGATTCTCGGGTTAAGGTATGGCGAAACGAACCATTGCAGCTTCCTTCGGCCCAGCCCTAAGCTTCCGTGCTATCCAAACTAAAAAACTCTCTGTGAATTTCACCTTCACATCAAACTCTTGAACCCAAGTATTGTCTACTTTACTAGTGACTGGCATTCCTCATCCACCAAAAGCGAACACAGAAGAGGCATCGTCACACAAAAGCTCATCTTTATCTTGAAACCTCTGAGCAAAATTGTCAAGTAGCTGCCGGAAATGTAGCACTTCCACGCATCATGCCAGCCTTAGCGTAGCTTGGGAGGGCCATGATAGTCGGTTGGTCAGGAGCCTTCCACTTACTGGTGTAATAACCCAACGCTGAGCATAGTTATCATACCGATTTCGCCGGTACCAATTCACTTCATCCTGTCGATGCCACATTGACTTGTGTCACGACCTCTGGATACTGATAGCAACGTAGGGGTAAGTCTTGAATACTTGTTGTCGTACAAGGAGCTCCAACTACTATATCTACGAGCTAGAGATCTATATATAAAATGCCTTCTTTGTTCTGTCACTGTAGGGAAGCGATATGCAGCTATAAGTATCGCGAGGCTTTGCGAGAGTCTGACAACTTGACTACGGCTTGATTGAGACTATCCCACTGATTCTTGTCTCTCTCGTCAACGTGAATGCCGTTCCATACTACTTGTTCGCTAATAGAAAATTCTGTGGTTGATCTGAAAATATTGATACGCGAAATCAAAAAGCTTCTGTTTATTTACTGACAGACCATGAAATGCCGCCAGAGGCCCAAATAACAAAGCTCGTCGGGCAACTAAAGGTAGAGGGAAGAAAGGGTCATTCAGGGTCTAGGGAGCGGAGTGACTATGACCGCTTATATTCTGCATCGTTTTTCTTAGGCAGAAGATGGCCATCCCAAAACTGAGAGGAAAAATATTTGGCGATATACAGCGGTGGAAGGGCCTCTAGAACTATTAAGCCCCTATCTTGAAAGATTGGGTGCTTGGGGTCTCGTATCCCTCCTGCAAGGGGATTTGGTCAGTGATATAAAGCCGTCGATATAGGGATGGTGATCGGAAAAGCGGTATGGGAAATTAGCTGAGAATTCAATATTATTGCTAATGTTTCAATATCATGGAAATAAAGTAGCTCAGATGAACTTGGAATTGCTGTAGATAGATACTTACGTAAGATTGCTGCATGCATTAATTCATGTGTAATCGGAAAAGCTAGTTAGCAAGTCCAGAGATGCCACTTTCAGCTACCTATCAGCTGGAAAGCTGATTGTTGCGCTGCAGTTGACTAGGCTTCAAAGAACTAGAAATATAAATTTTCTAAAATCGAGTAGAGGCTAAAGAGGAACATTCAAATAATCTCAACGGCTGCACAACATTAACAAAGAGTGCAAAAGACAATAAGTAAAATGATTCTGCATGTGTCGAATAGAATAATGTGACAAAGGCGTTGACTCATTGAATAGCCCACGCAACTTGTAAACTTAGTTTCATAATTTAATGACGCATTCTCGTAAGAAACGGAGCCTTTTATAAATTTTCTTGAATTCACTTCTTGTTATCAAAATTCTAAGCCGACTCCTTAAGTGATAGGACCGTAGTTGAATATACTGCACATGCTTGTTTTAACTGTAAATATTCTGCAGGAATTGTATGGACTGGTTGAAACCTAGAGATTTACCTAACATCGTTTCTATACTAACATCGTTTCTATAACTTGCTACATGGTCTATAACACTTTGTGACTCTCAGATTAAAAAAGCCGTTAAAGCCTTGTCTTATAAGAGATTAACAACTAGCTTAGCATGGATTATTCTAATTAATATCTAATAATACAGGATGTGCTACATACTTCACTACAAAGAGAAATACAACTATCACCCAACAGCTATCAACTGTGAAACAAGCAGGACGGAGACCAAAAATTACTAAACACAAAGCACTTGCCCACTAGCGGAATCGAACCGCTGATCTTGTCATGGCATCTAGTGTGGAGGTCCTTCACGAACTTGTCTACTAGTGACACGCTATACCACTTAGCCAAGCGGGCGCTGAGCAGGGGACAGGCAGTCTGGTAACATTATAAACTAGAAGAGAAGAGCCTAGAGCGTTACTCCAGCGTAAGTTAAATTGCTCGAAGAATGCGAGGGCTGTTCTCTGTTGTTATGAGCGCGGACTACGATTGGTGTTTGTAAGGGAGATCTACCTACTCGAAAAGGCGATGCACATGTTTGGATGCTGGCTAATCGTAGTGTTGGCTGAGCACGTGTCTCCAGTGCTAAATCCGATATCTAGCGCGCTCATATCAAGCGTGATAAAGTCCACTTAACGATAACACACTAGTTCTAGTATATATGGTAGTTAACAACGGAATAAAGTTCCCAAGTTGGATTGAAAGGTCACCCATGGCAAGGCAATGGACAGGATTTGAGGTTGTAGCGGTGCAACCGACTTTGTTGGTAAATATGCATCGCACTGGGATAAGTCAGCCTGGCAAATGATTCCGGTGCGTGTATAGCTAGAAATATTTCTTTATGTTTAAGATTAGCAGCAAAACATATTATCAGGCCACATGTTATTAAATGTATCAGGAAGGGGATGGCATGAGACTGTGATGTCTCTTGAGAGTTATGGCTTCCAAAATTCCCTAAGTACACAGAGGCTTATTTCAAAATGAAACTAGCATATTCTTGCCAGTTGACATCCAGATCCATCGGACTATGAATCGCCTACGTCAATATGAATGTTCAGAACGCTTATAGAGACGTGTAGATAGAGAGACCGGAGCTAGAACGTGAAGTTACAGACCCAGCAACACATGCACAAGAACAAAGCTCAAGTAACCGTCCAATGCTGAAACAAATTACCAATGTTGTGCGGTCTCCAAATGTATTTCTTTGTGCCGCATAACACCTTGCCTAATCGGGTCTATATTTCTTTGGTCTAGTTCGCCCCTAACCCGTAAGAGCAAAAGATGAAGTATGAAAACTGTAAACCGACTGCAGAATGCACGATGAAACTAGAAATGTTCTTGGGCTCTGGATGATGAGTGGAGAGAAAACAAGGGTACGGAGAATGTAGGGAACAAAAAAATTAGACCAAGAATGCAGTTTCGAGTACAGAACAGAACTAGGGCTCTGTACCAACAGTGAAATTGGATATGGTTCCCAAGGTAGAACATTCAATACTCCCCTTAAAGATGCATAGCGTGTTTCTCGTTGTTGAACTGATCTACTAAGAAGACTCTGAATCAAAATCCGAAGGAACAAGTGATAGTCACAGCTATATGGAAAGTTGTGAGGAATAATTTTCAACCACACTAAAGGATCGATAACTTCATTGGCCGGTTTCGTTTCCCTTCTTCCGGTGGTAATTCCTCATCAATTTTGTTAACAGTAAAAACTATTCCGTCTTCTCCATCTCTCGGTGGACAGATACCCCAATGTTACCCCTGAAATGGAGTGTTTAGTCAATCACGAAATGGGGAAACTTACCATTAGAAATGCTTTCGTACTCCTACTCTACAGGGTATAATTCCAGCGCCGGAGCATTTGCTCCGTGAGTCATGAAATAACCAGTAGGTCAGAGATTGAACTCTAACTGACTCGGGCACTCAAGTATAGGAGTAATCATGCCTATTCGGCGGATTGTAGGTGCGGAGTCCTGAAGGAACCTAGTAGATATTCCTGATCTCAGATAGTGATTCTAGGACGTCAAGAAACAGCCCAATGACAGGGTGGTACTTATTGCGTGGAACCTGACTGAATATCCTAGTGGTGACAGAGGCTAATACGTTGTACAAGCTACGTGGCACGAGACCCTCTCTTTCTTGACAACCTTGGCTATTCGCCAGTGAATCATCCTTGAAGAGGTTAGGTACAGGACTAAGAGAGTTGGATTATCGAAGTCGGCGTGCTGCAAAGTCTTCGAGGTGACTCACAGTGAGTTTCCATGGACGCCAATCTAGATGCGAAACATGTCCGTAGTATTGCGAGTGCTTTTTGCCCAAGAAGTCTGATCCTTGACGGTATCAGGCTTGTCAGGATGAGAGCAGGTGGCGATATTTCGGTGTGGGTGTGATATGTAAGGACCGTTACTGAAGCGTCAACGAAAGAAATGTAGAGTGGCGTCCGCTGCTGGGTCTTCTAAGACATGATAAAAGCTCGTATTCGTGACAAGTGACGATCTTCAACAAGAAATAAGGCAGCAGTATCCGGCATGGCGCACAACTCGGCTCAACTAATGATACGGAGAGGGGTTTCTCTAAGAGCAGTTGAGGTAATCGCCACCGTGTTGGCCATTCGGTCTCACCGTCTTTTACATGCGAGGGGATAAAAATGAGAGGCGATATCCGAGTTGGAATACTGCTATGGCGTGCAGTCTGATATCGCGCTGTCACATGATTGGAAACACGAGAACAACATGGAATTTGCAGTGCTGAAGCCCAAGTGATCTAACTTGTATGGGCCAAGCACTGTCGGCCACAAAGGTGCTAATAGCAGGGGGGGTAATGTAATGCTTTCTAGTTGGGTTAACTCGGCATATACGATTTGCTGTAAGTAAATATCGAAGATGCGGGAAGAACTCTTTTTAGAACGTCTGGCATAGGCGAATTAAAAAGCCGTGGTTGTTGGGAATCCAGCCAGTCGGTAGAAAAGACTGGGGCTATGACGTTACATTTCGGGTTCTGTTCCGGTAAACAGGGTTCGTCTTGCAGTCGTTTGGCATTGTTAATCCCCTGATCAGAGCCTCCAATGGTAAAGTTCGGTTCATCCCGTTTGCAATGGAATATGCGATGGACGATAGAGAGACGGTAGTTGAGCTCGACCTACTGAGTACCTAGATTGTGAGGTACTGCTTGCTCGATGAAACCTTGACTCGTGACGTCAGTGTGCTCCTAATTGATGACCTGTCGCCTGCAAGTATTATGGTGATTACGTCTTGGTCGCATCGTTGTGTACCATATCAACTGCCTGCTCGTCGTGGGTTGTTGGCAGAGAGTCGAGAGAATTTGGAGTCACGTCGAAAAAGTAGCAGGGATATTGAATGGTGAACATTACCGATGTGAAGCGGACTCCGGTAGCATATTTTCAGCCAATCATTGATTGACATGGACGGGGTACGAGTAGATGGGCCATGTACACCTTCCTTGGATATCAGAACGGCCGCTACTATAAAGTACATTAGTTACTTTCATACAGGTTCTCACGCTGTATTCAAGGGCATTTCCGCTTACGAGTTCTATTCGTACAGAAACTGAAATGTAATGCAGACGTTGGAGATGTCAAGATGTCATGTGGCTGCGACTTGCACTACCCTAGGTAGACTAGGTGCGTTGCAGGGACCCCTGTCGAGGTCTAGACGGGCCGTTACATGGTACGCGTAACATTATTGACCTTAACTGCGCCACGTTTGTGGCGCTGATAGTCATTTGCCACAACCATCTTCTTTCCAACGGTGGCCCCGCTTCTGCAACAGTGAAGATGTGGCAGTTGTGGCTTGAAGTGGCTGTGGCTGCTTCAACTGGGTTAACGTACGAAGTCTGTCGATCATTCACGGTGACTGCCGAGACATGATCCAAAAATATACTTGAACCTTCGCATCCGTACAGTACTTTACATGGTTTGTTTCACTGGTTGTCTCGGCGGGAAAAAAGAAAAGGAATCGAAGATGCCGAGGCCGATATTCTAGCGCTCAACTAGATCAGGACTGTCTCTTTCGAAGGGCTTGAAATTGCCACTTGTTCGTTGGGGGGACCACTGTGGCCCTGCTTGACCAACAAATTGCTATACGAACATCCCAGTAAAAGATAGGTAGTGGTGGCCCCTTTGTCTCGAAGCTCAACGGTGGTATGTTGGCTGTAGAATTTCTTGATAAGCAAGACCCGTCATATCCACAAGGGCAATGTAGCATACTGGATCAATAGCACCCATGGAAGCCGTTCGTCGGAACCGATGCAAGTAAGTACGTAGGGGATCGATCGCGCTTAGATGCACGAGGCCCTAGTCAGGTTGTGGCTTCTGAGGGTCTTGGGGTAAAGCCAATTTCGGGCTCCTCTCTCTGATAAACCCATTACGCGTCTAATTGGTTCGTTTGGCCGTTGGCCGCTGAGTACCAAGGCGCGTGTATACCCTACGCTAACCCGCGTAGCATTTTAATGCGAGTTCATCATTATCACTAACACCGCATCTGCAGCCTTGCCGTCAGCTCTTCGCACTTTGGTTCCGATGTGCCTGCCAAGATATTAAGAGAAGACAGGTGGTTGCAACGTGGGCAGATAAGGGCACCGCTCATGAAAAATAATTGCTCGGTACCGATGACGCCCACATGTATAATCATGTTGTCCGGCCTATTTTGGGATATCAGTGAGGCATGAACGTTTGAGTTTTCCACATTTGCTATCGGCAGGGTGATGACACCTCGGAAGAAGAACCGCAGTAGATACCTGGTGTGGTCTTCTGAAGTGGCAATGCATAAGTAAATGATGGGTGAGCACAGCCATAGTCCACGCACTCCCCACGCGCATGTACTGTGTTGTAACCAAGCGAGGCGCGAGGCTGTCTCGATAAGTCGCCACACTTCAGTCTCCGTAGTTGTAGTCATGTAAATGATGGTTAGAGGTTAGAGGCTAAACGGGGCGTCTTGGTTTTAATGTTCCCCGTAACTGAATCCATTGCCAAGGGTGGTTTGTTCCGGGCGGCCCGCATATGACCGGAGCAGGGGTAATGAGCTCTTTGCAGAGTGAAAACGTCAATTCGACTACTAGTACCTGACTATGCAAATTTCCTGGGGAGATGTACCGGCGCCCTGTTCAGGATACATTGGACCGATTTGAAGGGTCCAATGCATAAGAGGCGATCGGCAGGGAAAAGCGATCCAGAAGCAGCGCAACGAAAAATCCCGGACGACCAAAGGGAAAAAGGTAGCAGCTAAAATGGTAAGCGCCGGGAGCCGTTGCAGCCTATCAGACACTTGCAGGAGCTTTTGCTCCGGCCTCAATCCTCTCAATGATTACACACAAGACAGAAAAAAAATGTAGTATTGTTGAAG